TATATATATATTTATATATATATATATATTTATATATATATATTTGCAATCGGTAAATCACTATTAATTTTAAATCACAATCACTTGCGCACAGTGGAGGCCGGAGACTGGAGAGTGGAGGCCGGGGACTGGAGAGTGGAGGCCGGGGACTGGAGAGTGGAGGCCGGGGACTGGAGAGTGGAGGCCGGGGACTGGAGAGTGGAGACGGTGGAGAGTGCGTAATCTCTGGAGTTATTAGCCTTGAGATTAGACTCATTGAGTCATTTATTTTTTTAATTGCTGTTTCAAAAAAGGAGTAACGAACAAGGAGCTACGGTATTTATCATACATGTACAAACGAAAATCAAATCAATATAGAGTCAATTGATTTGCTTTTTCTTTCAAAAATAGAAATAACCAAATAGAAAAAAACTCTTCAGTCATATTTACAAACGAAATAGACGTTTTTTTTATATATAAAACAATCTCAATACATATGCAAGGCTGAATTTACAAATAAAGTTAAGACTATATTTCTATATTTCTGTATTTATTTATGTAGAGTCAACCCTCTTTAACTGTCCAGGGTCCGTCCTGAGCCGAAAGGTGGACATTTAAAGAGGTGACAGGTTCTGATGCAGGTAGTCCAGGTACACCCTCTATACGTTCAGGCGCTGATGATGACTTAAGCTCGAGCCGTTTCCAGTGTAAAAAACTTTTATACCCTGGCGATAAAAACGTTAAAGTTCAATTTTTATTACATATATGGTCCTGAGAATTTTCATGGAGGTGTTTCTAGGTCCGCAGATTTGTCCCACATGCACGCGGCGAATTTGACCTGCCATTGGTCTATTGGGCATGTAATATTACTTGCTTCCTCGTATATTGGCATGATGTTTGTTCGTCACTGACAACCAACTGGCTTCAGGCTTATACGGCTATAATTGCGTGGAATAGTATGCTCAGCCTGCAGGTCTGCCGCAATTTGTGTGTGCGTTTGTGTAAACTGTAAACGCCACTGTTTGGTAAGTGTAAAAGTTGTTGGGAAAATGTGCTGTCAGTTGGAAGTAGGAAATGCGTCATGACTTTCAATGCTAGTTTATGATCGATCGAAACAGCTGCTATAGCCCATTTCATGATTTCTAGGTGCAGAATCGAAGTGCAATTTTGGGGTTTCGTTGGTCATATATTAGCGTTGAAACCGTTTAAAAAAGGTTTATACGACAGGAAAATAAAGCTTGGCGCTGACCTGTGGGACAGTATCAGAGCAAACACTCTTTAGATAAATACTTCGACTTGCTTTTATTTATATTTACTCAATGTCTTTCCAAATTCCAGGCTGTACTCCATCACAATTTGTAAAATATAGTAAAATAGTCCTAACATATATATGGGGTCATCCCTATTGAAAAGTGGACAGTTAAAGAGGTTTGACTGTAGCTCACAAGACTCAAGACTCAAGAGACCTAAATATAAATGTAAATTTTCATTACATATTTGTTTTTTATATAAAAATGTACTTTTCAACTATTGTTTTGTAAAAATACTTATTTAACTTTTTACTTTGACTTTTTTTTTGATTTTCTGTTACTTTTTTAGGGGCTATGAAATTCGAGCTACAGTAAAAGCGCCTACATATGTATTGTATATTCGGAGCTTGGTACAAAAACCCTAAAATAAGAACCAAATTTTCCTCTGGTTTGGCTTGTCTAATAATTTAGAAGAAGGCTACATATTAACTATCAAGATGATAAATTTACATATCTTAATTTCCTCAATTTCTAATTATTATCGGCCTCTCTGAAAAAAAAGTATGTAAAAAACAATAACCCCCGAATTCCATTCAGTTGTCAGGTTCAATACTACAAGAAGTTCATGGCCCTCTGGATTTGAGTCGGCGCTCAATTTACGATTTCCGCTATTTACGACGATTTCTGCTCGAGACCCAAATCCAGAGGGCCATGAACTTCTTGTAGTATTGAACCTGACAACTGAATGGATTTCAACTGTCTAATGAAGGCTATTTAAATATGCTGTTTTCTACATATTCTCCTTCTATTTTGTTTTTGTATTTTTTTGTTTATGTTTTTTTAAAAGAAAAAAACAAGACATAGAAAAACAACATCGGGCAGTTTTCTGAAAGTTTTTCTTTTCTCTTTTTAAGAAAAACAACAACAAATTGCTCAGCAAGTCAGCATACCTGCCATTCCATGCTTAATTTTTTTGCTCGTGGACTCGTAGTTCTGTCGAATCAGATTGTATGCCCGCTACCCCGTGTCTGTTCATTTATTTATTCTGCACAAAAAAAAATTGGGTAGACCGGTAGAGCAGGTGGCACACAGGCTCAGTATTGACGGGAGTCATCAGCCATGGAACGCTCTCACTAAAGAGAGTAGTAGAGAGCTCTCAATGAGCGTCTGTCAGAGAAAGTAGAGTGCATAGGTGGGTTTTAGGTTTACGTAGAGAATTCTTGATACATAATTACTTGTATATATGCCGTTGACGCCAGAAGATCCAGTCACCCAGAGCGCATCTAGCCGGCCAAATTAATAAAACCTTTGTCGGAACTTACCGTACTACAATATGTTTCCACTGACAGTTGTTTACTGTATGCTGGGCTTCGTTTCCGCAGCAGGTATGAGATGTCACTTCACAAAGTTTCCCTGCATTAGTTCAGCGCACACAAAGTTATATGTCGACATACACGGTCCCTCATAGAATGTGTTGCTGTACGCGAATTTCTGCCACGAGTGTCACATCACCTATATGTATAGGGAAAAAGCTGTAACTTGACAAATAGTGTATATTTGATCACGAATAACCGTAGCAGTTTCCTTATATCAAAATCGTCTCAATACCAGCATATATTTGTATAATATATATATGTGTGTGTCTGTGTGTCTGTGTGTCTGTGTGTGGTTGGGTGTGGTATATTTATATATTTAGATATATATATATAATGTATATTATTATTTATATATATATATATGTTTGTGTGTATGTATGTATGTATATATAAATATTATATATATTATATACTTGCGTTTATGTACATATTCACATATATATATGTGTGTGTGTGTGTGTGTATATATATATATTTACATACATACTCACACTCGTACTTATATATATATAAACGATATGAATATTATGTATATATGCATATTGTACACAGTATATATATCTTCATAAATATATATATATATATATTAATTATATTATACTGTGTATTCATGTTCTACATGATGTATATATAAGAAGTATATATGTCAAAAATTATAGTGTATTTGCGCATATATAAATATACACATTCTTTTTTGTAAATATATATATATATATATCTAATATGTACATGTATACTTTGTATCTATATGTTAAAATATACACATACACATCTTTTCATATTGTATATGTGTATATTTATACACATATAATATATACACATGTATATGTTTGTGTGTTCCTGCGATACCTATATATGCCTAATGTATATATATAGATATATAGGTATTTGTATTATCTTGTACATGTATACATGTATACATATATATGTACATCGAGATTTTAGTACAATTATATTCATGTTTACTTGAATTTAACTTGTACACGACACTTTAAAGTAATCCAGGCACTTCTCTGTACACTCTTTCCCATACAGACAGTGTTTCCGCAAGCGTGCTTCAAGGCCCGAGTCTATCATGGGTGACGGTACCTGCGGGTGTGAGTTGGCTTAATCGGGCGTGGTGTCCCGATAGACAAGCAAATGAAGAAAGCTGTCAAGAATTAGTTATTCCTCCAGTGGCTACCAATGGTGGTGTGGTAGATACAGACATGTTCGATACTCCTGTGGACACAATAATGTACTATCGGAATATGGGGTAAGCAAAATAGACACGAATTTTAGGGTAAGGTATTTGGAATTACGAACGCTTACTGGATATTTGCCAACTGACCTAAGATGTATGAGCCCTAAGCATTATATTGCTAATTGATTCGCAGTTAGATTTAGACTTTCCTGCCCTAAACGTTCTAGATAGGGCCTGAAAGGTTTTTGCTGATATTAATGTTTCAGATTTTGTATACATCCTCCAGATGGACGGTCATGTGTTATATATCCGCTGGTTCGTACGAAGACTGGCGACCCGATGCTGCACAATTCCCTTCGCAAATAAAGGCTAACAGTATGTCTGGCTGGGACGAACTATGGCTAGATATGCGCCCCACAAATCCATACCACAACTACCTTCTGGTATGTATATGGATTTCATTGATTCCGTTTGCATTGTATAGCTATCTTTATTTTTGATTCATGAGAGCTCTAATCACCGTGTCGGCCAGTTTTGAATCTGCCCTATGCATGTATATGGGCTGCTATGACAACGGGATGTATCCGCCCTCATAAACATGTCTGAGGCACATTCCAAGTATATGCTCATATATATATATACTTACTCCGACAACCCACAATGTTCACTTTCCATTAGGCGTTGATGCAAAACCGCATCATCACCGCTGCGAACAAGGGATGTCAGGTCATTGAATTTGACAATGTGGACAGTTGGGCCAATGATGCTTTGCCCGGAGTGCCGCGCTATGACGCGGCCACCGGAGTTGCGCAAATGAATTACAATACATGGCTCGCCCAAACCACCCATCAGTACGGCATGGCTGTAGCCCTAAAGGTGTGCATGTGGGAATATATGCATGTATATATATATATGTACGTTTGTATGTATAGATATGTATTTGTATATGTTTGTATACATGGTTCATTAGTTAAAAAACGTGCTCTATTTGCTTCATTCCTCGATTATTCCTGTATTTTTCTAGCGTTGTCTGTCCTTTCGTATGTAGTTGCTAGTGACTTTTCGCCTGTGCACGGCACTCGTACACAATAGGAAGTACTAACAACTCATGCCTTTTTTTTTTAAACTGAGTCACTCCTGAAATCCACTAACTATCTGCTCTATACTAAATAGAACGATTTGGGGCAGATTGCCGAGTTGGAACCATACTTCGATTTGGCCGTGAACGAAGAATGTTTTACCTACACCGAATGTGATGATCTGCAACCCTTCATTGCAGCCAACAAGGTTTGTTCGTATTCGATATCATAGAAACCTATATAAAAGAAGACTGGTGGCTTTCATTGTACTCTCGATTATGAGATCTCGACATATGAGCAGCCGTGAACACACATTGATGTTGGGATCTTCACTTTCGGTTTCTAACCCCAATTCACCTTACTCTGCAACGTGCTCATAGGCTGTTTTGGGAACATCCTATTCTTATACGGATGGTGATGCGATGTGTATATCTGCCCGGTCAAGCGGATACTCATGGTTGCTAGCGGAACACTCACTCTGGAAATCTTGCGAGCAAGATGGTGAGTTGGTGGTATATATAAATAAGTGACAGAGGCATGCTGCTGTGTATTAATATGTAGCAAGGAAAGTATTATACTCGATATAGTTTGTCGACACGTACTTGTGTATTCTGCGCGTTCACTTTGGTTCATGCATCACAGTTGCTGTACTATACCTCAGCTGCAAGCTTTCTAATTGCTCTGGTTATCCGGCAGATCACTGCGATGTGTTTGAACCTCACTATATTTACCAAACAGCATATGTATGGCTCATGCTGCCCGGTTACAAGCTCATACAACACCACGTTACCCTAATTAGGTGTGGAGGTCATTGCACCTGGAGTTACTGCACCTGCTGATGACATTCCGTATGGTCCATGGTCCGAGTGTACTGTGTCATGTGGGGGAGGCACTCGGCAGAGGGCGTGTATCAGAGACTTCCAGTGCACAACGCCAAAGTACGAAACGTGTAATGTACAACTATGTCCAGGTATGCCTGTGTGCGTGCACCCGAGTGCTTGCGAGAGTTCGTTGATCTTGGTTAACTGGCTGCAGACGGTGCTCTGGTTCGCTCGGCGCCACAGTTCGCATCCAGCAATGTGCGTTCATGTCCGATCGCGTACCATTAATCATACCGACAGGTTTCCATGTTCGCATATAATAAGCTTTGTCACTCGACGACGCCTTTTTTTTTTCCCAATTCTTTCTCATGTGTAGCCTTCATCCACCCCTATACTCAACCCCCCTCGTTTCTTGTATTCGAATGCCACAGTGGCGTGCAGTTCGTTGTCGACAGGGACCAATACGGTGCTACAAGAGGGCGAGAGTTTCGTATGGGCCTGCCCTACTGGGTACGAGGTTGTGGGTGAAAGTATCGCAACCTGCACGAACGGAGTTATACAACCACCCAACTGTCAGGGTATGTTTGTCAAAAGACCGTCGCGTGGCGTTAGGTCAACGTTTATACACTGGCTTGAGTAGCTTACCTTTACTGTCTTCTTTAGTCTTACAAGTTCAGTGTAATTTCAAAAAAAAACCCGATATATTCGTTGGCCTTTGGACAAACCAACTCGCAGATATTGACGAGTGTGCTGCGCAGGGCTATACGTGTTCTGCAAACGCTGAGTGTGTCAACACGGCTGGCGCTTACAGATGCCAATGTGCCACAGGATACGCTGGTAATGGTAAGTTAAAAAACTCTGCCTCCTGGTGCGGCTTCGTGACTTACAAGGTTTAACGCACACCACATGTACTGGTAGTTGTTTGTAGTTGTTTTGCTTGCTACCCCCACAGAGATTTCTCGAATGCAACTGATCGTACTCTGTACTGTATAGCAACCATAGCATGCCGACAACATCACGCGGTATCATTCTATCGGTACTAACCCTCGGCCCACTCCCTCGCGGTACTTTCAGGTAAAGTATGTCTCAGGAAAGACACTCTCCAGGAGTCGGAACGAATTGCCTATGGTGGGAAGTATCTACAAAGCAGTTGTGGGCACGTTGCCGCCGTTTCTGCCAATGGCCACATGGCTATGTACGCGGGTGATGGTGTACCGTACTTCTCGAGTTACCTTTACGAGTCTAATGGCCCGGCCCAAGGCGCGACGAGGTTTGGGCTGTCTACTAGAGGCGAGTTGTTACTGGTCGACGAGGCCAATACGGTAGGTGTATGGTGTGGTTGCCGGCGATCGATTTGATATGTGAAAGATAGTAATGTATTTATACTCCCGCATTAGCGAGGGATATATCTGTGTATGAATATGGTATGGTCTATAGAGGTGTTACTGTGCCAATATATAGTGGGTTACACTTTATATATCCATTTATGGATATGGTATGATCTATAGATGTGTTACTGTGCCGATATACAGTGGGTTCCACTTTATGTATTCATTTATGGATATAATATTGGCTATAAATGTGTTACTGTTCTGGACTTGATGGGCTACACTCCTAGTAGTGCTTATAGATAGTGCTGGTATGAGGCTGCAGTGTATTGGGATGTCTATGTACCAGTTTTTCAACCGACTCAACGAGACTTTCGGTATCTTGACTTCATACAGGTGCTGTGGAGAACCGGATATCAGGGTGCAGAGGCCAAAACTGGCCCATTTAGTCTACTTTTGGACACAAGCGGCTACTTGAGGATTATGGACGGGGGCAATGCCAACATTTGGACCAGCGAGTTCTACTCGCCGGCTACTGAATACGATTGCTGGAATTATAACCCGTATTAGTGGATAACGTGCCCAATTTAATAACTAATTAGAATGATTTATTCCAAACCAGGATTAGAAGATAAGGCCATTGAAGCCAAATTTAGTGAGTATGCCCCCACCCCAATTAAGACGCATACAGAAAGTACAGTACAGAAGAATGGTCGATAGCAAGACTGAATAAATCAACTGCTCAAATCAAATGTGGCCCTGATTCCGGATGATATATGCTCGTTTGATACTACTTTTTAATTATTTACCGCTGCCATTCAATATCTTTTCAATATTACGGACCAGCATGCGTAATCTGACGTGCCAAAGAATAGATGCCTATATAGATATATCTGCACCGTGCCTTCCAGTATGTGACTATATGTGTAGTCTATTTTACGCAATTGTATAATGCTCTTGTAACAACCCGGACACTGCTATCTGTTTAGAACACACAATCTCCCTGTGGATACAGTCTCATAAGGCGCGACTTGAGGTTGGGTTGCCACATCTGAGACCGCATTATTTTATTCTGCAAGAGTCACTGACTATGAAGTCCGCTGTAGGTGTTGTTCACGAGGTCTGCATATATGTAGTGGGTATACTCTTGCATAATTAAGGGTGTGAGTCGCGCCCAAGGTCTATTGCTGCTGTAGTAGGCCCTAGTCTCTCTTTACTTCAGAACTTTGCGGGCAAACTCGGGAAGTACAAAGGCAGCCTTGTGGATGGCCGAGTTGTAGTATCTAAGTTCCCATTTCTCCACCTGAGGTATCAAGAATCAGATTTACCACAGATGGGTTAGTTAGTGTCGGGTAACGAACCAATGTATCAAGATATCCACTACATCTATTCGATGCTTCTGGACGGTTGGCACAACACGAACTCGATGAGCGTCCTTTGCACATGTGCACGAGGATATACCGTAACACGTTACGTGAATGTGTACAAACCACGAAATTGTGGTGGCGGTTGAGAAGCCAAACTGTGCTCGCCCGTGCTCAATTTTTAGCATGTACCTGATTGTGTTCAGCACTTTGCTTGAACAATTTATTCAAATTGTGTACACATGCTAAATAAAGGCCAACGCGGACACCTACGTACGAACCCTGTTCCAGAACAGTAACGGTATCACACCACGACACACTCAACCCTTGCATATATACACGCACAACCCTTGCATATATACACGCACAACCCTTGCATATATACACACACTCAACCCTTACATACATACACATTCAACCATTGCATATATGCACACTCAACACTTGCATACATACACACTCAACCCTTGCATATTTACACACTCAGCCCCTGCATATATACACACTCAACCCTTGCATATATACACACTCAACCCTTGCAAAAATACACACTCGACCACACACTCAACCCTTATATATATATACACTCAACCCTTCTATATATCTATACACTCAACCCTTATATATATATATACTCAACCCTTATATATATCTATACACTCAACCCT